GTACGAGATGGTGCTTACCTATAGTGACTTGGTAGATGCCGATGTGCTTGATGAGGTCATGTCTGTGCTCAGTGACACAGTCTGGTAAGTAGGACCTGCCTGAGCCTGATGCCACTTTTTCCTGTACCCATAGCTTCTGATGGAAAGAGGGGAGACATTCTAACCCTCAACTGCTCAGGGTCAGTCACCTCTCAGCTTCACATAGGGCTGAGGACGCACATTCTGGGGGCTTCAGGTGGGAGAATGTTTAATGAGCACTTGCCTTTCTCCTCTTGTGATCGAGGTGGGTAGTGGTTCAGAAGCTGGTGTTTTTCAGTAACTTGGTTATAGGGCCATCAGGATGCAACCAAGTGAACGTCAGCTAGCTTTAATTTTGCTACTGCAAGGGCCGTGTGGTCCTTCCTGTTTTAATGGCTTTAGAAACTTGACTTCAAAGTCAAGAGTGCAGTGGGTGGTGGTGGGGTGTAGAGCCTGTGGGTGTGATTCACAGGTGCTATAGGCTGAGCCTGGAAGCAATCGCAGTCACAACTGCAAAAATTTTTATGACCTGTGATCCAGGCACTGTTCACACACATGGCTTTGCATACATTTATATGCATGTTTGTACATATGATCACATCCATACAGCTTGTTCATATGCACTGGCAAGCACACACAAAGAACCAACATGTGTATACAGGTGGACTTCAAGCTGGCTTATCCCCTATTCTAGACATTTCATTTGGGAGGCACAGCCAGGTAGCCCAAATTACAGCTACTGACTGTGGACACTGTCCCCTCAGACTGATGGAAAGGCATACTGCTGATCTCAAATGCTGGCGGGTTTGTTGGGATGGCATATTATGCATGCCCCTCAGAACAGCTATCTCCCTAGTAGCTTATGCTAGGATGTGGCCTTCCTGCCTAGATGAGAGCTGTGGGGCCCTGAAAGGCCAGAATACATTTCAAGATCTTTGCTGTCAGTAGAAACTCAACTCGATACCTTCTGAGGAGATAGTTGTCATTGCTTCCAACTTTCTAGAACACTCATCTTCAATAAGGACAGCAGGGAGGGAGGAGGAACTTCTTTGTTTTTAAGATTTATTTTTTCCTTTATAATGTGTATGCATGTGTCGGGGCTTGCATGTGAGTGCAGTTGCCTCCCAAGGCCAGAAAAGGGTGTCCAAATCCCTCTGGAGCTGAGGTTACAGGTGGTTGTGAGCTTCCCTACATGGGTGTTAGGAACTCTGCTCTTTTGCAAGAACATGACACCTGGTTTACAGAGAACTATTTTTTATTAATTTTTTTTTACATATAAAACATGCTTAATACTATTCCGATGAAAGTCAACAGACTATTCCGATGAAAGTCAACAGCTTCAGAAGCCATCTTAGCCTGAGGTAGCATCTCTTCTGTATGTTCCTGGAGTGGGCTATGGCCCCTGGTGTCTACTCTGGAGGACACAGATTTTTTGTCCCAGTATACCACCAGATCTCACAGGGTCAGGGGAGCTGAACCATGTTGGCACGGGGGGACTCACATGCTTTCTTCCTTAGGGACGCAGAGCTTCCAGTTGTAAGAGGGCAGCGGAACCACCTGTGTGATCTCCTTGGCGTGCCCAGACCCCAGCTGGTTCCAAAGGTAATGCTTTTTGTATTCTGAGTACACACAGCACCTGTGCTGTCTGTTGTTCTGTGCTCTGGTCTAAAGTACACTGGTTCCCACAGTCAGTTCCATCACTACCCCTTACTTTCTCCAGGCCAACTGCAAGGGCTGCTTCTCTTGCTAGGGTGGGTAAGTTTCTCTATCTTCATAGTACTGGCTGCCAGGTATGCAGTTGTTGGAGGCTACATGTTTCAGCTTCCATCTCCTAGGAAAGCTCCTACTTATTATTCCATGCCTGGATGTACATGCTAGTGTACATCCTTTGAGGGCACCTGTCCCAGCTTCTCTCTCCCTGGACTCCTGGCCCACTGGGGCCTCGGTTTTCTTCACTCCTGTGCTTTTCTACCTATCTTGCTGTTTGAGACCCCTTGGGCTCTCTCTCTTTCTGTGTTCAGTAGGTCAGTCTTATCTGTAGGGACTTTAAAAATTCTACGCATTGAAGCTGTCTCTAGAAGCATGCCCCCAGCTTATTGATACTCTCCCTTTTATAGTGTCATCTACTCTGAGGTTTATGCAGTGTCACTGCACCCAGGGCCACCAGCCAAGGAGGGCACTACCCACACTGAGCTGGGCTCTCGCACATCAGTCACTAAGAAAATGTCCTACAGGCTCACCTACAGCACAGCTTATGAAGATATTTCTCAATTGAGAGTTCCTTTTCCTAAATGACATTAGCTTGTGTCAAGATGCCATAGAAGTAATTAACACATGGTAGGCAGGTGCAAAGTCTGCTGTTTCTGAAAGCTCGAAGTACTGACTCTTCACATAGAAATCCAGTTCACTTGGGACTGAGCAGCTGTGGTGTAAAGGGAGGGTCATTTTATGCTGCCTGTACCATCCAGCCTCACTCTAAAGAGGATTCAGTGTCCCCTCACCACAGCTGTCAAGTGACTGCCGAAGTATGACACTTTGGAATCCCTTTCATACACATGGATCATGCTATCCATCTGTAAGTCCTACAAACCGTATGAAGGAAGAGGTGTGGACTTCACAATTCAGGGTGGCCACCATGTCTTCCAGTTTTATTCTGCCCAAGATTGTCTTCACTCTTCTTGACCCTTGGGGTTTGGTTTAACTCTCAGAACGAGTTTACATACTAACCAGCCAGGTTTGCCTGGGGCTAGAGGGAGCTGAGGTACCTGATTGACACTAGGCCTCAGGCCCTCACTGGGCTTAGTTAGGGCTTATGTGCCCTGGAAGGTCAGCCAGTCCTATAGATGGAGATGCTGTGTGTGTGATTGGTTCCCTGGGACCGCTCATGTTGTTCTAATTGCATCTCTGCATAAAAAGTTCCTGACCTGTTCACATGCTAGCTTAGTGACTGTTTTTCTATGCTTCTTTCTGAACTCCCTTCTCTATACCTCTGCTGTGTTACTTTTTGATTGCTGTGGCAAAACACCATGATAAAGGCAACTGACAAAAGAAAGCATTTCACTGGGTTTACGGTTTTAGAGGGTTAGAATTCATGGCAGTAGGAACAACTTGAGAGCTCACATCTTCATCTGTGAACAGGAAATGGAGTCTTTGAATCCTCCAAAGCCTTTACCACCTCCGAGGAGGCCACACTTCCAAATCCTTCTCAAACATGAGCCTATGGGGCCTTTCTCATTCAAACCACTACATCCGCCTACTAGTTCCTGTATGCCCTCCGCAGCTCACCACCTTGGAGTGGCTTTAATTCTTAGCCTGATAATCTCCATCTCTATGCCCCAGGCTGTTGGGACACCTCTTATGTCTGAGTCATCCTTTTCTGTGTGTGTGTGTGTGTGTGTGTGTGTCTTTTCTAAGAACTAGACATGCTGATCAAATGGACAACAGCAGGTGGTCTTGCTTTTCTGGCTGGTAGCTGCTATTGGATGTTGACTGTGGTATAGGCCTCAGGGTTTCTCCCATTTGTTTTCACCCTTGACCTGGGCTCCCTGCCCTTACAGAACCCGAGCCCTTCAGAAACCCAGCCTCATGCTGGAGTCCTAGGTGAGTTGGGGGCAGAGGGATATTCCAATCATCCAGCCAGTCTCTAATCTTGGCCTGGCCTGCAGAGGACATCATTCTAGTATTCTGACTGAAGTGAATTTCCTACCTTGCTGGGTCTGAGTGAGCCTTGCAGACCCCATGGCTGGTAGTACCAAGCTCGTGCAGGTACACATAGGTCTTTTGGTGGCTCTGTGTCTCATATGTTGCATCTCCAGTTTCACAGTGGAGATCTCAGTTCTGACATTCTCAATAGAGTGGAGTGGGGCCTCAGACTCTGCTGCTCTGTGCATAAGCTGAGTCACAGTGCTAATGCTGCTCAAAAGTATTAGTGCACATTTCTCTCATCTTACCCCATCATTTACTGAGAAAGCAGTGTTTTACATTTGTCTTATGTTTGAACTTTGAGAGGTACATTTTGAAGCTGTGTTACTAAGTGCTCCTACCCATGACATCTCCCTTGCTATTAGTGTAGTGACATCTGGTCAGCATGTCTGTCATAATACTTTCAATGTCTATGAACGGTATAGTCAAGATTATGCCTTACCATCATTTAAAAATCTTAATTAGTGTTCCATGCATTCGTGTTTACTGTATAATTACTGACAAGTTTACATTCATCGTCTTTTGTTTTTCTGTTTGACCTTCCTGTTTAATGTTTCTTCCCCCCTTATCTGGATTTCATTTCCTATCCTGTAACTTGTTTCACTGTTCTGGTCTTCTGTCCCTGATTACCCTGGGGGCCAGCACTCTTTCTTGACACATTGCATTATCCCCTGGTCTTGACCTCTAGCTACAGAGCCCTGTCTGGAACTGGGCTGTCCTAACCCTGAGGCCTTGGTATTTGGCTGATATGGTCTTCATGGTCAGCTACTGTTTTTCCTCACTGTTCTGTTTGCTTTGATGGTCTAGCTTTAAACCCTGAGCTGTTACCTCCTTGCCATGTTGGGAAAGATTTTGTTCTTTCCCTTTCTTGTGTGTGCTATACTGGGTCTGTGTGCCCAGGGACCTCCCCTTGCAGGAGCCATAATAAAACACACAAGCAGTGGCCTGATTGTTTGAATGGCTCTGGGAGTGGTGACAACAGTCTCCTACGTGGAGAGTGAACTTGAATTTTCAACTGTGCTCTTTACTTTGTTAGGAAAATTTTGAGCATGTGTGGATGCAAACAGTTTTGCAACCCACTCTGACAAGCCACCAGAGCTGTCACTACACAATTCAAGGTGTCAGGATCCTGGGACATGGCAGTCTTCAGCCATACATTAGAGAGGATGGGGTTGGGGACCAACCTGATGTTGCTACGTGTCTTTACAGCCTGTTCCTGGAAGCTGAGTCCTTGCCTACCTAGCTGGGATGTCCTGCCCTGAGGCTCCACAACAAGCTGCACCATCATGGAAACTTTGTGCCATAGACCTCTGAGAAAGGTGGCACATTCTGCTAGATGGATTGGGAAGCCATCCACAGTGAGCAGTAACTGCCTTTACTTCTGCTGTCCTAACACAGATGCACTTCTCATTAAATCATGTACCATACACTGTGGGCTCCATTCCTGGTGCTTTCCTGTGTTTTAAGGCACTGAGTGATTTGTGTAGCATGATGGGTGTCTCACATCCTGGTAGAGTGTGAAGTGAGGGGCAAATGCAGTGGCAGGCAGCTCTCCCACATGCTGAGCCAGCCAAGTCACCAGCATGCTACACAATGAGTAAGAGGTCATCAGAATCCATTGTCCCTGTGGGAATAGGAATGGCAACTCTGATTCTGAGGCCTGGATCCCTTGTACCTCCTGTCCCAAAGCCTGCATGCCTACTGTCCTGCTGTGGTAGCCTCGTCCTGTCTCTTTCAACTCTGTTCCAGGCCTGGGAAGGACTGCTGAGCATTGCTCAATTAAGCTCCAGCCTCAGATGAAGGAGATGACTCTTACCTCTACGGAGTTGAGGATGTACACATGGCTGGGACAGACTTGATAACTGCTCATAAAGGTGAAAGTGGCCAGGCTCACAATCAAGGCCTGTGGTAGTATGTACTCACTCATTTAACAGCCTGCATCTCATGGAGCTGGGCTGCTGCCCGTATTGGGAGTCACTCTCCAGGCCTAGGTCTGCAGGAGGTTTGTGGTGCTGATCTGGTGTCAGGGCTCTCTGCCTGAGGCCTGGCTCATGCTTCATTTCAGTCTCACACACCTCTCCTAGACTCAGAATTTTCTGTTGTGACAGGAAAAAGCCTAGCTGAGATAACCTGTCTTACCTAATGGGATGGAGCAGGCAACTTCTAGGAAATAGAATGAACTATTTTTAGTATTATTTTTAAAATAATTTCACACATTAAATTTTAAGACATGGAGACCAACTGGTCTCCAGCAGACCTGCTGCTGACAATCTTTCCCTGAGATTTAATGATCAAAGGGTTTTGTTCCAGGCCAGCCACCTAACCACAGACAGTTATTGCCACTGGGTTCCTGGTGGCCAGGAATACCCTCATCTTGACAGCTGGGGTGGCCAGGATGGTCCATCAGGTTAGCAATGCTGGGTGCTAGGAGGATAGGCTCAGCAAATAGCAAGCTCATGAGTGTGTGCGTCTGTCTGTGCATCTGTCTGTCTAGGTGTGAAGAAGTCAGGAAAACTCAACAATGGGCATGTTTAGGCAGGAGCCCAATTAGGTATGTGTGCTCACAGACAAGCACACACCTGGCCCCTACTGTGACCCCTACGAGCTGAAGAGCATGAAGAAAGCAGCTAGGGCTGTGTGCACAAGGTCATGTACCTAGGTCTAGTAATGAAGTCTTGGTAGTAGGGTGTAGTAGATAAAAGGCCAAAAGAAACCTAATAAAACTGGGATCCCACAGAGTTCTGCGCTCAGCACTGGTAGATGGGAAAACTTGTCACAGGAAAGAACTCTGGCTCTTGCTCGGTCTTACAGTGTTTGTAGAAGAGGAAATAACCACTGAGTCCCGAACACTCCTATGTTGAAAAACCGAGGTAAATTGGCTGAAAAGTAACACCGTCAGGAAGATACAACCTGTAAGGATGAAATTGAAATTGATGTCCACAAACAGGGAGAGAAGCCTAACAAGACAGTAGAGCCAAGTCACTGCCAGTAATTTTAGAACCAGTATGAAAGAACAGTTTCCAAAAGTAAAGCCACAGGACCAGGGATGTTGCATGCAAGAAACCCTGGGCCATCAGGAGTGGTGTGCACACCTTTAATTCCAGCAGAGGCAGGCGGAGTTGAATGATAATCTGCATAGCGAGTTCCAGGACTACCTAGAAAAACCCTGGGTTGATCCTTCATCACCATGTAAACTGAGTGTGGCAGTACATGCCTAAGATCCTAGCACCTGGGAAGCTCATCTTTGAGGAGGCATGTAGAGCATTTTAAGCCAGCCTGGGATATATAAAACCTTGGTAAGTAGCCCCCTCTCCCCAAAAGAGTTAAGAGGTAGAAATTATCAGAGATTAGGATAGGAGCAGGAGGGAAGGCTCAATGGTTAGAAAAACTTGAGTTCATTCCCAGTACCCATATTGTAATTCCATTTTCAGGGGGAATTCAATACCTTTGGCCTCAGCAAAAACTATATACTCAGATGCAATATTCATAAAATTCAAAATCATAAAAATCAAAACTTAGATTAGAAGCCAAGGTGAAAGGTCCCATATGCATGAAGCCCCAGCTCAAGACAGAAGTAAAAAGGATCCTACAAGGTCAGAAACTCCCCAAGAGAATAGCTGGTAAGTCTGTATGTATTCCTGCTACCTCTGACTACTAGGAATGTTCAGGGTTAGACACCCAATCCTTCGCCGGGAAATGAGCTGGCACCAGGTGCACTGGGTGGAATTATAGAACCTTTGAGAAGGCAGATGGTAGCATAGTGGCTACCAGCTCACCATCAGACACCGGAGTTGAGGAAAACAGTAAAATGCACAATGTTCTGAAAAGTATGACTGTCAGCTTGGCTAAATGATATGCATAGTGTATGCCTCAGGGTTTACTATTGCTATGAGAAGACACCATGGGCAGAGGCAGGCGGATCTCTGAATTCAAAGCCAGCCTGGACTACCAAGTGAGTTCCAGGACAGCCAGGACTGCTACACAGAGAAACCCGGTCTTGAAAAACCCAAAAAGATTGAGGCCTGAAGAACAGACGACAGGGTGGAAACTAACGCAGAGAATGAAGAGAAGTTGGAAGAAGCAGAGTGACCGACAGTTGTCTGTGAAAGGGAAGCGGAGTGGACGGGAAGAACCTGCAGAAGTTGCAGTGTGGACTACCTGGCAGCAGGCTCAGCTGAAGAGGACGAAGTCCCGGCCTTCCTGCAAGTGCAGTGACTGCAGGTTGTCTTCAAACGCACCCCCTGTGAGGTCCTGTGGGGGGAGGAGATCCAGCTCAGTCAGGCTTCCTTTTGACCCTCTGGGACTGTCAGGTGGCTCACAGTGATAAGGGAAGTGCCTGAAGGACACCAAGGCCAGTGAGGACAGCAGCTGGTGCTCCTGTTACACAGTTGTGTTGGTCACCAATAGGGGTGAGGCCCTTGCCACGTGGTCTTGGCTCTCTCCAAAGGCAGTTCAGGTCTCACTGTCGGTCCAGGCTATTCACCTTTCCTCCTGCCTAGTCAGGGAACTTTGCATGCTCTCTGCTTCTCTTATCTGCAGGATCTGCCAAGCACCCACCCACTGATTTCTCTTTCCTGTCACCCCCAGTCCCCAGTGGGAGCAAGGGTCATGATCTTGCTAAAGAACACTCCAACTAGGGGCAGATGGGAATCTGGAGCAATCTGGCAGGTTATGGGGACCACTTTGTTCCTCTGAAGTCATCTGTCTTTGGGCCAGCACAGGAGAAATACCTGTGTGAGCTGGGTGGTAATGGTGGCATACAACATAAATTCCAACACTTGGGAGGCAGAGGCAGGTGGATCTCTCTGAGTTCCAGGATAGCTTGGTCTACAGAGTGAGTTCCAGGTCAGCCAGGACTACACAGAGAAACCCTGTCTCAAAACACCTGAGTGAAAATCATTCTGCCTGGAAATCATTCTGCCTGGAAAAGCAGAAACGTCCACAGTGGCCACACCTGCTGCCCTTCCTTCCCCCCCCCCCCTTTCCCTTCCCCAATGCACAGACTTATCAGGCTGGGGCCAGGTAGGTCAGAGTCTGCCCCTATGAGACCTAAAACTCAGTGGATGCCCCTGTATTTAACTTGTCCCTAGGAGAATGAGGGGACAGTCATGAAAGGAGAAGGTGTTTGCAGGACCCAAAGCCAACAAGGATAACACCAGCGTTGTGGAGGATTCTGCCATTGCTTCCACTAGAGGAGGATGCCTAGTTATAAACACGGTAAAGGAAATCCAAATTTTCACCAGATGAGTGATGCTCACAACCACAGCAAGATCATTCTCCAAGAAGACAAACAGTCTGGCTATCCCATACAGGTGGCCTTTGGAGGTGTCACAACGTGACTTCTCTTCTGGGATAAACCAGAGGAATGGGAGCTCACAGCAGCATGATGACAACTGGGGTCCTGACATACCAACAAGATCCAACAGTCTACACCACCCAGGTGATGGAGGAACCAGACCCGAGTGGCAAACAGATGGTCCTGCCCACTGAGGCCACCATGCTGTGAGCTGCGTGTGGTGTCGTGCTACTGCCCATAGGTCTTTTCTGAGTCTGGGCACAGTGCCCATCTCCTTGGAACATCTACACTGTACTTAAGGAGGCTGTAACGCTACACTGGTGCACATCCTCTGCACTCTAATAAAGCCACAGGTGGAGGGCTAAACGTCACCTGTAGGCCAGTGCTTGCCAACCTGTGTTGAGCCATGCTGTGTGTGTGTTAAAAGCCACAATACAGCAGTTTATTTAAGAGAAATAAAGCTAGCCTCCCTCAGTGGTGAGGCAATTGGTAAGAGGCCAGGGAGCAGAAAAAAACCATCTCAGCCAATGCATTCCCTATGAAGAGAAGAATGGGCTGCCTAGTATGTGAGGGTGGGACAACCAGATGTTCAAATAGATTAACTAGGGACTCCTAGTTCATCTTTCCATCAAAATAACTTCTCATTGTATCACAGATAAAATTAAGAAGCAGAAGTCCTAGATACAGTGAGCAGTGTTCTGTAAAGTCACAGTCAAGAATAGCTGTCTCAGAATGAATCAGACTTCCTCTAAATGGAAAGAATATTATCAGGTATAAATTAAAACTCTGGGGCTAGAGATGGCTTCAGTAAAGTGCGTGCTGCTCAAGCTTGAGGACCTGTGTTCAGTTTTGCACCACTGTAAAGGCAAACACCTGCAATCCCAGCAGTGGGAGTCAAGGACGGGATAACCCTTGGGCTTGCTGGCCAGGGAGTTCAGTAATGATGATGATATAGAAAGCGACAGACAACAGTGTCACCTTCTGTCTAGAACGCACAGACCACTAGAAGGTGCTAGGTAAGCAGGGGGGGAACAGAGCTAAGGAGGGGCCTTCCCCTCCCGGAGCATCACCAGCATAATGCTGTTACACTCCTTTTTCCAGGTGTGGCTGTTTTTATCTGCTACTGTGTGACATCACTCCATAAGACAGACATGTCTCACTTTCTGGGGGGCTAGAATGCAGGCCTAACCATGCCATGACCCAAAATGAGCTGTCACAGATTGGAAGCCATGGGTTGAAACATGGGCTAAGGTTCCACTTACATCACCCACCATCTTGCTGAGGTGGTGGGCGTGGCCCACTACCTCGTATCCCCCGCCTGACCCAGCAACTGTGATGGACAGCTGCAACGGGGGCTGAGCTGCCTTTTCCGGAGAGCCCACCTTGTCCATCACTGGTAACAGAGGATGGTGACAGCACAATCTTTGGAGCTGGTAACTGCTGGGAGATGTCATAATGTATATGTGTTTCTCATACTGGTTAATGAATAAAGCACTGTTGGCCAATAGGAAAGGAAGATAGGAGGGACTAGGAGACAACGAGGAAAGAGGAAGTAGTAAGGAGGAGTCAGAATGGAGAGCCTGGAGAGAACAGAACCGCCATTCCTCCGCTCTCGGTAAGACCACGTGGAAATACATAGAAATGGGTTCATAATTAAGACAGAGCTAGCTGATAAGAAACTAGCACCTGGCCAATAGCATTGTATCAAATACAGAGTCTCTGTGCATTATTTGGGGCTGGCGCGGCGGCTGGACAAGACCAGGCGGCAGGCGGAAAAACCCGTACTCCTTACAGGTAACACCTTGTTTCGGGGCTGCTGACATTCAGGGTGGCCATACTCTCTCACGTGGTAGATGCCTGGAAATTCCCACAAGAGCTTTGAAAGAGAAAAAGTATTCAATAACAAAAGGTGTCAAGGAAATAGACAACTTACCAGCACTTGCAGTGAGATATCTTTAAAATAAGATTATTATCCTGGACCCAAAGCCAGAGCAGGATGGTGGGTGGCAGGAATGCTGACTATCCCCTGCCGGTGTCAGAGGCCGATGGTGACCAGAGTGACTGAGGTACAAGGTGTGCTTGGTTCTGCCTCAGCCTGCACCCAGAAGCTTCTTAGTGTAAAGACAGGCCCATTTTACTACAGTAAGAAAAGCCACAGATGGGAGATAGGACTGCACACAGTCAGTGACCTGGGCAGGTCACATGGGCAGGACGCACTAGCCTAGCCCTCTACAGCCCAGCACACCTTCCAGGTGAACTCAACTCCGATGGATGCTTTCTGTTAATAAACATGACATTATGTACAGAAAAGATCTTCCTGTGCAGGATACTAAACTGTCATTATAAAATCAGTGTCACCACATTAAAGAGTTCTGGGAAGAATAATCCAAAGAGCAGAGTCTCCTGAGAGGGAACTATGCTTGCCCAACCAGTTAGTGCCTAGAGCAGATGAAGAAAGGTTAGCCTTAGCTCCAGTAAAAAGCTTGCTGTCTTGTCATTTTCAGATTGACACAACTGTTGGGGACTCATTTCCTGGAGAGATTGTGGGACTCTGTTTAGCACTGACCACAAGTAACCTTGGTTTCCACAGAAACAGAATGCTTGGCACCTATGCCCACATGATCAAAAGCAGAGAAACCAGATAAACCAAAGGAAGGCCTATGGCCCTACTGATCACCGCCAGGCTGTTATTACATGTGGGTAAAAGTCACCCTATGAGTAACATGAACCACAGCACCTTGAACATGGTAGCTGGGCTCAGAACTATGGTTTTTCAGTGTTTACAAGAAGGATAGAGAACAGCTTTGAAGAGTGTTAGCAGACATGCCCACCTCTAGCATCCACAGGCCACTCCCCAGCTGCCTCCAGCCACAGATCAGCAGCTGCGGCTGTAACCTAGCTCTGGGTGTTTTTTATGGCCACAGGGTAAGAGCTGGTTTACAGTAAGGGTATATAGGTAGGGGTCAGGTCTTGTCCTTGGGTTTGGTCATGTGATCAGAGAATAGGAAGGCTGATGCCCAGGGCCCTGCAACCATAGCCAACACTTACCAGCTTCACACAGATGACAAAGGGTGACTGGGCAGCTTGGAAATGCAGGATGGGGACCTTCGGCTTGGGTCTTTCCTATAGAGATGGTGCCAGCCATGAGTCACTAGGGCTTCACACAGAGAAGGAGCTCCCTGGGACATGTCCCAACCATACATAGCCTCTGCTCACAGTAGCTTGTGGTCAAGTAGCAACAATGGGAGTCTTGGGCCAGTTGGGCAGGACAGGTGGTTGTGTCCTGGGCTCTGGCAGCCCAGCCACCTGATAACCACAAGAAGAACCAACTCTGGTATGCCAACATTGAGGCCCAGACCAAAGGAATATGGGGTAGTTTTCCGAGGATGGGGCAGAGTCCCAAGGGATCCTGGAGACTCTTTGAGGGCTGAGGGCTACATTTTGGGGCAGAGCCAAAATGAGTGTAAGGGAAAGCTGGATGGTGTGGACGACCCTTCCCTGTAAGGTGCTTTGGTGCTCCCGACACACGGCTACATACCTGGGAGTCCTCATGGCAGTAGACGCCCTTCCTGATCTTGTTCTCATCAACATCACAGAAGGCCACCACCTGGGGGGTGAACGTGGACCAGCAGGTCAAGATGGTGGTGGTGGGTGTAGACGTGACAGGATTGCAGGAGTCAGTCAGCAGAGTGGCCAACAGGATGAGGAGGAAAGGGTCCTACCTTTCGCCGGCTGGCTGCAGTCAGGCTGCGGTATAACCTCCGCCCTTGCTTGCCTGCATTCCAAATGGTGAAGGACTTCCAACGAGGTAGGATTTGTTCCTCTAGGAAGTGGACGCGGTGGGTCCAGATGGTCATCCTGTAGCCAAACAAGAGGGGAAAGCTAGGGCTGGCCAGTTGTCGTGGGCTCTAGATCCACCTCACCCCATTAGCCCTGGGGACATACGTGAATGGCACACGTGTACTTAGGCACAACCTTGTTTTAGGGGTGAGAGCAAACAAAGTCTAAAATATATCCAAGGGAGATCTGGCCCTTTCTGTCACAGTCAAGAGGCCACCTTATACACCAATGCCCTTTGGGAAGTCTTTAGCCACTCATATTGGTCCTACTTTCTAAGTGGGACCCTGAGAAATGTAGGTTTGATAATAGATGGGGCCTTTCCACAGCTGCCAGCTCCACCAGCACATGAGTGTCTCCAATATGTGGCAGGTATGTATACATGTGTAATCATATAGGAGGGCTCATGCAAAAGCCAGCAGTGGGCATCAGGTATCTTCGTCATTCTCCACCTTATTTTCTGAGACAGGGTTAAACCTGGAGCTCACCAATTTAACAAGACCAACTAGCCCACAGGCTCCAGGGATTCTCCTGTTCTCAGCACTAGGGTTACAGGCATGTGCTGGGGATTGAACTTAGGTCCTTATGTTTCTGTAGCAATCATGTCATTGACAGCCATCTCCCCAAGCCCCAAATTCTAGATGTGGAAACTAGTCCTTTTGAGTTAGAATGTGAACAGGGAGTTACAGGGGACCCACTCACCCTGGTCTAATTTCCCAGAAGAGTCAATATACTCACAAGAAAGGTCTAGGTAAAAAGCCATGTTCACTAGAAAGTAAACTTTCTGCCTCAGACTGTCTTCCCTCAGACAATCCCAAAGATATCCCTTTCTGGGCACTGACAGACTTGTTCCCAGGCAGTAAGCCCTTGGATGCATCTCCAGGGCTGGTTCCTTCTCAGCTCCTCTGAAATCTACTCACATGCTGTCCCTCATCTTAGGGCCAGGCCTTCCAGCCCTGTCTCTCTGCCCAGACCCTAGCACACTGGTCCTTCGAATGGTACCCCCTTTGTAATCAGGGCTGCATCTCTTGTGTCATTCACTACCCACATCAAAGTATGTTTTGCCTGATCAGCACTTTCCTGAGATCTCCTGTGTTAAAACATTCTAATTAGGGTTGTGCTGAGCTCAGTGATTTTCTGAGGGGATTCCTTAGGGGTTCCGAGGAACCAAATAAGTGAGTAACGTTTAATTCTGAACCCCAGCCAGTCCTCCCTATGGCTGCAGTGCCCCCTTTATATGAGAAAGTCACAAACAGGACATGGCTCAGCCCTGTACAGTGTACCTCTCTGCAGACATGCCGCCACCCAAGGAAATGGAAGACCCTAAGAATGAGAATGTTGATCTCACAGTGCAGCCCTCAAGCAAGGGTCACATACTTCACCAATGTCATAAGCCAAGAAAGGCCCTTCTGATTCTATCCCTCAGCAAACTTTAGTGTGATGGGAGCAGAAGGCAGAAGGGAAGAGTCAAAGGCAAAAAAAGACTTGCCTTTTGGGCAACCAGCAGAGGTTGACATACACACACGTATCTGCTCTGCCTAACTGTAGGTGAGGGAACTCTAGGCCTAGGCTGCTCAGACCCTGTGGTATGCCAGTTGGCTAACCTCCAACCTCTTGCTAGCTACAAGTGTCCCCCTTCCCCCTTCAGAAAGGGCCTTTACAAAAGACCTGCTTGGAGACAACCCACTATCAGAGTTCATGACTATTATCAACACAGGAGATGTAGCAGGGGCTATTAGGCCCCTCGGTCATCCCAGGCTCAAGAAATGTCCCTACTTACTCTGAAGACAACCTGATAATTTGTCCCTATAGCCTTGGTCACTACAAGAGGTCTATTTTGGTCAGAGCCTGAGCAAGACATGATGTGTACACTGTATACATATGTATGCATCAAATTGATGAGAGTATATGTAGAGTGCACTTGTGTGGAACACGTGCACATGTGCAGTGATCACCCATGTGCATCTCTGCATATGTGTATGTGGCATGGCTACAGGTAAGTAAACATGTGTGCAACAGCAGTTCCTGCTAGAGACTAAGTACACATGATGTGTTGGGTCCACTGGTATCTCTGAGGAAAAAAACCCTGATCTTTCCATGCTCCATCTGTGAAGTGTATTTGCAAGATGGTGGGTTTAACTGTTCAGTGAAATCAACTTGGTTCCCCAAAAACTCGGTTATACAGCAATTACAAATATGTCCACCATCCTGAGTCTTGTTAGGTGGCCTCTGATGGAGGGAGGGTTGCAGACAGTTATAAAAAGGTATGATGCAGAGACTGCTGGACATCTGGGCTTTGCTAGCAGCACCCTGCACTGGCCCTATTTCTCTGAGGAATCTGCCTAGAGAAAAGGCCTTCTGGCACCCCAGGAAGTTTGTGTCTCTGTTAAGAGACCATCAACTTAGAGCTGGGGTCAGTAACTAAAGGGAACTGGTTTTCTTGGACCCATATGCTTAAGTTTCTGGAACTTTTTGGGAAGAGGCTGGAACATCAGACTAAGCACTGCACAACCACACTGGTCCATGGGTAAGTGGTGGTTGACGGGGTGGAAAAGGCCCATTATCCCAGAAGGCATGGCCACTGGTCAGCAGCATCTATGGTCAGAAAAAAAAAAAAAAAGGCTAAAAAAAAAACCTTGCTAGAGGCACATAGCGGATGGCTCACCAATCCTGTCAGGTACCACAGCATCAGTATGCCAGCACAGTGAAGTCTTAGGCTGGATACCAGGGGTCAGGACACTAGGGATGCCATGTCTGGTCCCCTCATCCCTACTTTTGAGGCACATTCTTTGCTATACTCATCTGGAGAAAGGGCCTTATCTGAGTCTCTACAAACATTTGATGAAGTCACAAACCCAGCATCATACTGCCATTGGGAACAAAGTCAGAAACATACTTCTTTACAGACCTCAACTGTGATACTAGAAAGCAAACAGCTTGCAGAGTATAGGCAGCACCAGTATCATAGGAAGCTAAACATACTGTCTGTAAGAGGAGATATCAGTAAAAGTATAAAGAGGGTGAAGTGGCTGGCAACACAGTAGTTCAGCAGCTCACAAGTTTAAGGGATGTCTGATTTCTTAAAGATGCTATTCTATATGTATGTCTTTTGGTATTTGAGGTATTCCATATACACACAAAGATAAATGACAAAAATTCAGACCATTCTGACCTTGAAATAAGAATGTCAGAATCAAGGCATTGCCACCTGAAGACTTCTGATAGTTTAGACAAATGCAACTCTTAAATAAGCCTCAGGTTATAATTACAGCTGTTATCCTGGGAGGTGCTGCAGCTCACGACTTAAAGACTTTAATCCAACACAGAAACTCATATTAGATCACTTATTTTTATGCTGTGGGTGGCAAAGCTTACTGAGCAAACACAAAGGAGTGAACTATGTACACACAGGCTGCTCTGTTGAGGGGCATGATGGGTGCCTGCTGGGTGGGCTGCAAGTCACCACCCAGGCGTCTTGAGCCTCACAGACAAGCATGGGAAGGACCTCCCTTACACAAAAGATCACATGATCGAGGCATCTCACACTCATGTGGCCCACAGCACAACGATGGGAGATGAATGAAATGTTTCAGTCAGCCAGTAGAATCAGCACCAGAAACACCTGCAGCTTGGTTCCCAGCTAGCTCCCACAATGCTTTGTCACTAACTTCCACCTCTGCTAGTAGACAGTGGGAAGGGGTTTCTCCTCTGGATAAACAGTGCTGTGTGTTTTAATTCAGGTTTTTACACAGGATGACGAAAACCACACTAGTCGACTTTTAACAGTTGTACTCTTGCTATGTATGTGTCTGTTTCATGTGCATGGCTGGACCTAGCGTGCTAAGTGACGGAGATTTGACCACTTGGAGAGGAACATGGTCTGCCATTCATTATCATACCTATGTCTCATACACAGTGCAGACTGAAGAGTTAACAAGCTCGCTCTCTTACTAACAGAAAGCCTGGTTCCACATCTTTATCAGTGGGCTTGAAGGACCAAGGACAGAAGGACAGACGACGGAAAGTGAAAGGGGTCATCAGCAACGGAGGCATGGCTCAGCCACCAGCTGTGACAGCTTCCTCACCATGGGGCCGGTTAGCCTGTCAGACCTCCTCTTGGGACCCATGGTGAGCCATGCTAGGTTAGAGCAAATAAGAACAAAGCTGACAGTTAAGTCTTCACCTCACACAATCAGTGAAACTGGTGCTTGGCTTTGGCGCTGGTATTTCCTAACCTCTGTGGAACAGGACATCCAGAAGCCCTGAAGGGCTTCCTACAAGGTACTACAGCATGCTCTGACCCCACCCTTCCCTCCTCCGCGGCAGGCCCCATATCCCACCATTATAAGCTTCATGGGAGAGTCCTGACTCCACCAATCCTGGGCCCTACCACACCAGTGACTTACAAGTGATCTGGGCCTGGCCACACCTGCATCTCACCTGTTTTTAGACTATCCCGGGTATTTCCAGAACTTGGTTATGTCCTACTTACTCAAGGACTGAATGTGTGGTGGCACACGGGTGGTAGCGGTAGAGGAGCAGTTTGTGGTCCACCCGGAACACACCACCCCCTTTCCTAAGGTGCTCATAGAAGAACAGCAGGTCCTCTGGTACCCCCTGAAAAAGCCAGAGAGAATGCTTACCACCCTGGTTACTGACCCGGGCCATCAGATGCTACAGAAGGGTGTGGTGCTTAGAGCCATGTATGGTGGCACTTGTGGCAGTAGCGATCTGGGAAGCAGAGCTCACAGGATTGCTGGGACCCAGAAGCTAGTGCTCAACCTGAACACAGCCACACTTGGTCTCAATAAAAGAATCCACTCTTTGACACACAAGAGTGGTGTAGGGTGGTGCAGGTCACACTAAAGAAATGGAAGAGTAGCAACTTGTTTCTCAGCAGGTAAGAAATGAACTCTAAGACAGACAGGATGAAGCAGAGACGCTAGATGTGGATCTGAAGTCTCAATTCTGGGATAATCAGTGAGCACAGAGCTGCATGGCCTTAGGAATGGAAAGCTCGCTAATGTGGAGAAAAAGAAGATGGTACGTTGCCTTCCCAGGAGGCCCTCCATGAGTTGCTGAACCAGGGAGAGACTGGGTGGGTCAGAAGGCAAGGAAGGCTGAGGGACTGTTACAAGGCTGTACTTCCACATCATGGACAGAAGGGGGCGATGTTGAGCCAGGAATCGGGAAACAAGCAGAGGAGTACAACTGTCTCAAGGAGAACAAATACTGCCATGATAAAAATTCACTTCCTCCCCCACCAAATCAAACACCAGTGTGATCAAGTAACAGATCTTGAGACAAGTCTCTGAGCTTATCACACACCCTTAGCAAACGGGAAGATGTGGTTCCAAAACAAAGACTTACAATACAAATCAGACCTGAGGAAGGACTCAGCTCAGGCTGGGGTCAGGCTCACCAGGACAGAGATGGCCTGTTAGCCAGCTCCCTGCAGGCTACAACCCAGCCCTGGGCTCAGTTTCACAGGTAGGTAAAGATACACCCCAAGGGTCCAATGGAACCAGGGACAGGGATAGCTAACACCTTCCTTACTACCTACAGTTTCCCACCAACAGCCACTAATCCAGGATGAGGTACTTGACCCCACAGCCAAAGATGAACCAAAGAAGGTGTAGACCAGGGCATATTCACCAAAACCCACTGCAGTCAGCCAATAGTGAATACCACAGGAGTGCTGGGAAAGACTCTAAAGTACTTTCCTGAAAACCCTGGCCTTACCGGTGCCCTGCAGGCACCTCCCCACCCTAAGGAACCAACAAAGCGTCCACGTTCTAATGGTTGGCACTTACCCGACCACCTTCATCAAATGGGCCCACATGCGAAAACCAGGCCCGAGAGCCGAACCAGGTGGGCATGATCACTGTGGGGCCGTGTGACGTGAGCACCTAGAAGCAATTGGCATCAATGTTAGTAATAGAAAAGAACAGCTTTTTAGAAAAAAACCCAGTCTGTTACTCAGTAAACACCAAATAACCCTACTAAATGGGGTACAGAACTGAAGAAAGAATTCTCAATAAAGGAAATCGAAAGACACTTAAAGTGCTCAACATCCTTAGCTATCAGGGAAATGCAAATCAAAACATCTCTGAGATACCATCTTACTCCTGTCAGAATGGCTAAAATTAGAAACACCAATGACAACTTATGCTGGAGAAGATGTGGAGAAAGCGGAACACTCCTCCACTGCTGGTGGGAGTGCAAACTCGCACAGCCATTTTGGAGGTCAGTATGGCGGTTCCTCAGGAAAATGGGAATCAGTCTACCACAGGACCTGGCAATCCCCCTCTTAGGCATATACCCAAATGATCCACATCTCTGCAACAAAGACATGTGTTCAACTATGTTCGTAGCAGCATTATTTGTAATAGCAAAAACCTGGAAGCAACCTAGATGCCCCTCAACTGAAGAATGGATAAAGAGGATGTGGCAAATTTATACAATGGAATACCACTATGTGGAAAAAAACAATGGAATCTTGAAATTTGCAGGCAAATGGATGGAACTTAAAGAAACCATCTTGAATGAGGTAACCCAGTCACAAAAAGAGGAACATGGTATGTACTCACTCATGTATGGATTTTAAACATAGAGCAAAGGATCACCAGTCTATAATTTAGACCTCCAGAGAAACTAGGATACAAGGAGGATTCCAAGAGATTCATGTAAGGCCCCTCACAGGAGAAAGGGATAAGATCTCCTGAGCATATTGGGAGTGGGGGAGCGGGGACAATGATTGGGGAGGGAACTAGGAGAAACAGATGGGAAGGAGAGGAAAGCACGTGGGACTAGGAAGGCTAAGTCAGGGGAGGAATACACAAGAAGAGGGAGGGAGGGAGGGAGGAAGAGAGAGAGAGGGAGAGAGAGGGAGGGAGGGAGAGGGAGAGAGAGAGAGAGAGAGAGAGAGAGAAGGAGAGACCATAAAAGAGGGAGCCATTATAGGTTTGAAGAGAAAACTGACTCTAGAGAAATGTCCAGAGACCTACAAGACTGACCCCCAAGTAACAGTTTGAGTAACAGTGGAAAGGCTACCATAAATGCTCTTCCCTGATAATGAGATTGATGACTAACTTATCCACCATCATGGAGCCCTCATCTAGGGAGAACAAGACCAGGCTACAGAAACACACAGAGACAGCTGAACTGAACAAGGAGGAGCTAATGGGCCCCAGACTTATAGCTGGGAATCCAGCATTGGACCGACCCAGATCCCCTGAACATGGGTCTCAGAAGGCCTGGGTAATCTAAGGGACCTCGGACAGTGGAACCAGGATGTATCCCTGGAACACAAAAGGATTTTGGGAGCACATCCCCATGTAGGGATGCTCCCTTAACCTAGAGGCAGGAGGGAAGGCCTAGTCCCTACTCCAACTGACTTGACAGATTTACATGACCCCTCCTGGAAGGCATCACCCTACATGTGGAGTGGGTGGAGATGGGAGGGGAGGGTGGTGGTGGGGGTATGGGAGGGTCAGAGAGAGAGAGAGGGAGGGAGGGAAAAGAAACGGATTGATACGTTAAAAAGAAAATGATGTGATGTGAGGGCGATCTGGGACAAAAGAATGCATGCCCCTTCTTTGTGGGAACAAGGATTGGGCCATAAGACAGACAGGAGGAAATTGGGCCACTTCCAGATCCCCACTCTCCACCTGATGCTCATTGCTAAGCATATCAGGGAACCCTCTGCTTATGCAGGAGGTGAAGCTATGTGGGAACTGACTGTAAACACACTGCTCTTAACTGCAAGAAACCTGAAGTAGCATGAAAGGATATGGACGGTGAACACGGCTTCCTAGAATGGCATAAATAGACTTGACTCAAGACAGAAAACCTGAGTAATTTCTAATGAGCTTGAGATGTGAGCCTTCCCACAAAGAAAAGCCCAGGCCAGGTGGATCTCTGGTGAACGCTGCCAAATGCTTACAGAGCCAACACCCTCTTCACAACCTTTTCCAAAAGCAATTGTGCAGTCTTTCTAAGTCATTCTATGTAGCCAGATCACCCGATCAAAGCCAGGCAAAGATTACCAGAAAGCAGCACACACGTCTTATGAACAGAGCCAACAAAAGTGTTTGCAAACTGAGTTTAGCTGTCACAGAAAAGGACAATATTCAAGAGTAGGTGGTATTTACCCCAGGACAAATGCACCAGAATCAGATTAATGACAAGAACCTAAATAGATGCTGTAGCATTTGGCAAAACCCAGTGCTCTGCCAAAGAAAAGCCCTGGGATGTCAAGAGTATCAGCTGAGACAATGTGCATAAATCACTTGGCAGGCACCAAGCCCCGCAGTACTCCCCTACGTTCTTTGCTTCCACTGCCCATAACTTCTGGGTTTGCTACGCACTTGAAGCACACCCATGCTTTTTCAAACATACTGGCCTTCTTAGTAGCCAGCTCCTATTAATCCTTTAAAACCCCCTGACCAGCATGTTTTAGTTAAAAGGCACTTCCCTGGGACACCCTCCCTAGAGCTTTCTGCCATGACACTGAATGCCATCACCTATTTATGATTTCTCTCTCAGGACTTGTTGGTGCTTCCTGAGGGTAGAAAGTGCCCAGAGTGCACCTCCTGGTAGGAAGATTTCAATATGCTTGAATTGTCTTGATTACAAATGGTCTGGGTGCCAGTGGTAATGCACACCTTTAATCCTGGCACTCAGGCAGAGGCAGGCAAATCTCTATGAGTTCAAGGCCACCTGGATCTACAGCTGCATTCCAAGACAGACTCCAAAGCTTCACAGAGAAACCCTATCACCAAAAACAAAACAAACAAAAAATGGTCTGGGTGCAGGTAGTGGTGATGTACACCTTTAATCCCAGCCCTCAGGAGACAGAGGGATCTCTGAGCTCAAGGCTAGCCTGGTCTACAGAGTGAGTTCCAGGACAGCCAGGACTGTTTCACAGAGAAACCCTGTCTCAAACAAAACAAAAACAAAAACAAAATGGCCTGGGCCCAGCCTCATCTGAACACAGGACAAACGTCTACATCAGAAAGGTAAAAGAGCAGCCAAAGCTTGTTGGATGTGGTAAAACATACCTATAATCTAAGCACTGTACCATAAATTTTAAACGAGTCTTAATGAATAAAGGTCCTTGCCACCAAGCTTGATGGCTTGAGTCCAACCTCTGGAAACTGACATGGTAGGAAGGAAAACAGTCTCTCAAACTGCCCTCTGCTCCCACACAGACTCAACCAATGTTTAAACAATTTTAAAACCACAATTGTAATCTCAACACTCAGGAGGTTACAGCCAGAAGATCAGGAGTTCAAGACCAGCCTGGATTACATGAGACTCTAGATCATAAATAAATAAAAGCCAGCTCTTAAAGGAGACAGCAGTGCAAGAATTGCAACATCTCCAAGCCAGGTCTGACCTGGATGGGAAGAAAGGCCATGCTTCGTGCTAGGAAGACTCACAGCCCTAACTCCTGTGTCACCTGCTTCAGGAGTCTGCCCTGATTTATGGTTCCTGTTTCTCTGCTTCCTCCCCAGTACAGTAGCAGGAGGACTTTCCAGTGATGAGTGTCTAGGAGTGTCTTTGACATGATGATCACCTACCTCAACACCACCACTCAAATAAATCTCTATGGTCGTAGTATCTGCAAGGATGGAAAATACAGCCTAACTCTCCAATGACCATAGGAAGCGAGAAGTTTAAAAATACTATCTAAGAAGCCCTAAAAACCTCAAATTCCAGACCCTGTCCTCTGCCAGTAAATAGGCAAGGTCACACTCCTTGCTGCTTATGACAGACCCTTGAGTACGTAATCCTGGCCTCGTAAGATAACGGGAAATGAGCTGACTAACCTCTTATCGGACATCGGTAGACTGCTTGTGAAACCCCTGCCCCAGTGACCTATGCGTGGGCTTTGTTGTAAACCCTATAAAAGCTGTCTCAATTCTGCACTCAGGGTCCTGCGTGGTGAAGGTCCACACTCTGAGGGTCTTTCAGTATTCATCTGAGGGGTGAAGGTCAGTCATGTGGCTAGGTTCCAGGCTATGGTGGTTGAGAGGCCTGGTATCAGTGGTGACCAACACACCACATCCCAGGGTACAGAGATCCCAAGGTTCCAGACTTTTAGGAACTTCACACAGAAAAGACATCAAAGGGACCCTTCCCACTAGTGTAGTTCCCACCCCCCTGAAGTCTGGTTGAGTCCCTGCTGGAGTACAGCCTCCCAACTGCTGTTCCAAAGAAATGGCTGTCAGAAAGAAATGAGGTATATTGTCTTTTCCTCCCCCCCCCCTTCCTCCCCAAAGACATCAATTTTTTTTCTCTTTCTCTCCAAAGACATCAATTTCTTTCCATCTGTCCCCCAAAAAGGAGAGTTAAAGGGATAGATTGCTCAGGTAGTAAGGAAGGCGCAGGGGATAGGGCAGACACTGACATCTGGGGCAGCTAGGATCCAGGAGGGCCGGGATAAGTTTCTTATGGCCACCCTCAGCAGCTTGAAGGTGGCAGCTAAGGAGATGAGGGACCCATGGGCAAAGGGCCATGCCAACATCAATCACTGCTATAAAAGCCTTTTTCCCTCAGTGCCTACTTGAGCAGCTCCAGTCCCTGAGAGCCACTGACACCAGACATCTCATGGGCAGCCAGATGTTGGAAGAAGAGGAAGGGAATTCTTTTCTTATCAAGGATCCAAGTAGCTGGTAGATCTGACAATCCCCACTCATATTGAGGTGCCACATGTAAGGTGCTCAATGTGGGTCTGTGAGCTCCAATACTGAGCCAAAGATACTAGGGCCTTGGGATTCTCAAAGCATCCACCTTCAGGCTTCAATCTGTAAGCTGAAGTCTCAGCTCCCTCCTCCCCCTTTTGGTTTTTTTTTGTTTTTTTTTTTTTTTTTGAGAGACAGGGTCTTACTATGTAGCTCTGGCT